CCGTGCCATATTTCTGCATGTTGATGTGAAGTAATGGCAGTGATTTTTTTGCACGGCGACGGTGTGCAGCGACATCGTGGCCCGCGTGTTGGACCTGGTACGCCAGCATAGCGATGCCCAGGTGCAGCTTGCCTTCATTGATGAACACAGGCCGTTGGATGCGGCGGTAACTGTCGCTGCAACCATGACATGTTTGCGATTGATTTCAGCAAAGATTGCCAAGCACTGGGAGGGCTCGACCGTTGCGGGGCACTTTTCGAATCGTTGGGCGTTTCAAGTACCAAATTTCGATGCTCAAGTGCTCCTGCCCATCGTGTGGGGGCGGCCTGGGTGTTGGGGGCAAGCAAGGGCTCGTCATTGAGGAAAGGCAGATATTAAACTCGGACTACACCCATGCCGTTGCGGACGTACAGAATTGGACTGCTCAGATTTACTTTCAGACGGAAGAGGCACCCACCTCTCGGAGAGGGCCGCCAGATGGCCCCACGCATGCACGGCGATGGCGGAAACACACAGAGAAATCAACCGCATCGTTTGATGGCCTGGGGCGTGTCAGCATCCGCGCTTCCCCAACCCAATCTTGCGGGGGAGAGACGGCGGGTCAACACTCAGAATTCTCAGGGCAATTCGGGAAAATACATTTTTCTTTTTTTTTTGCCGTCGCCTCCCCACCATCCCCTTGGAAGAGGATTCCGGTTTGGAAGGTCGGGTGATGCATTTTCTTGCATTGGAGGTCACCATCTGGGCTCCGCGTGTGTGGAATGAGGGCATCTTCGAAGTCGTCGTTGGTCCCCGGAGCGCATACAGTTATAAGTATTGGCACCAGGCGGATGCTCAGGTTCAGCCAGCCTTTGACGGTTTGGTATCGTGCAGGCGCGCGTTGGAGACAGTGGGGGGTCCCGCCGATCGTTTCATTGATTTATTTAGGGCCCCACTGCAGACCTTCCAGTTGCAGATGATAACTACTGAGTCCAGCGTCCCGATCTCCGAGCTGCGCGCCCGCCTACGCACGCAACAGCAACGATCGTTGCGATGCCGATTCTGACGTATTTATTGACGCGACGCATTCACGTGCAACGTCGGAGACGCAACCAGAGGAAGTTACTCGCAGCGCCGATGCTCCACCCGATGTTTTGAATTGCCCGACGCAATCGTCGGGAAGGTCGACGGAGCTTATCTGTAAACGACGCTCGACTGTGGTACGACGAAACACCGACATCCTCGCTTTAGGCCAGTTATATGAGGAGGGCGAACGAGGTCGCTCGAGAGATGTGGGAGCCGTCAAAGTGGGAGCGGAGAATGTCCCTAGCGGGGCGATTCACAACCTTATGCCGCACGCACGAACGGTCGATCAACGAGGAGAGCTGTGCGGTCTTTTAGATGGGCATCGGAGTGGCGCCATCGACCCGACTGCAGTACGCCAGGATGCTGCGGTCCATGTTTGAAATGAATCGAACCCCGCTGGACATGATGATTCTTGGGTTACAAAAGGTTGCGGCGCGATCGGAGACGAAGCAAGCGCGCCCCTTGACAGAGGAAGAGATGAATCAAGTAATCCGCAGCCGGACCGATTGGAGGGAACGTGTTGTCTTACGACTTGCGTGGATAACGGCGAGTCGTTGGTCCGAGATTGTGGCCTTGACACCCAACAATTTCACACTGGAGCCGGACGGGACCTTAATTTTGGATTGGTCCGTGGCGCCGAAGATGGCGAGGGCGGATCCCCACCGCCCCTCGCGGTTCGTCAGGATCCGAGAGGCAGGGCGCTTTCGACACTATAAAGCTATGCAGGACACTTCAAGAAAACGAAAAGCTTACGAATATTACTAATGCCCAAGTCGAACGAGCTTTGGCTCCTTGGGATGCCACGGCGCATTCCATAAAACACGGTGCGTTGAGGCACGCTGCTCAAATCGTGGAGACATACAATTTGGATCCACACGTGATCTCGCAGTTGGCGAAGCACGTCGACCCGTTCGACCTTCCCCAGAATACTGTTCGATATTTGTGGATGTACACCACAATGCTGACCCAGTTGTCGGCGCTGGTCGCATTGATGTGAAGGGAGACACTGCTGAAGGGCAGGAACCCTGGCTGAGAGCGGAGGAGCGTTTTTTTCTATGATTTTTATCACAATCATGCTGCTACAATAACGAGACGCGCCACAAGGACGCGTCTGGCCACTCCACAAGAGGAACACGCTATCCCGCTGCAGCAAGTCAACGTGCCCGTATTGAACCTAGAGTGGATTAAAACTCGGTTGAACCCGGCTACCTTGGAGAGGTTCATGCAAGTTTGGGGACTCGTGGGGCGGTCCCCTTTACCTCCGTCTTCCTCCGGTAAAGCGTGCGAAGGCTCACGGAGGATTCCAACCGCTGACGCGAGATTGTTACGAAAAGCAGGAATTATCGAGGACGCTTCGTCCACAATAACAGGCGGATGGATAATACCTTTCTCGGTTGTGGAGGAGAAAACCACCGGTTCACGACGACGATGGATCGCGTGGCCACGCGACAAGAACAGAGACGACCCTTACGAGGCTAATGTTCCTCTTTTACACATTTCCCATTATTTGCCGCCTGTGATGGCTGAGGCCGCTTCCTGCCTGGAATTAAAGGCATCCCTTTTTCAAGTCCCTTTACCGCGGGGACTCGGCATCTCTTTCGATGCCACGTGGTGGACGGCACGCTGGTGGAGCTCACACGGCTCCCGATGGGATACAAGGCCGGCCCAGAAATTCTCCGGATTATTACTTCGGCAATCGCGGCGGTGACGACGGTGGTTCACCCCCTCTGGGCTGCACCTCCATCGGTGCGTATCGACGTATGGATCGATAATATACGCATTGCAGGGTTGAAAAGCGATGTGACATTGTGGGAAGCCCAAGTGCTTCGTAATGCGGACAGTTGTCACGCATCCTTGGGGGATGAACGCGAATCGGGCGCCACGCATTACAACTTCCTGGGGGTGCAGTTTGATCACACTCACCGGGCGGTATTCCTGAGTGAAAAGTTTGTCCGGTCTGTACGCGCCATGCCGTCGCTTAATTCTTTAACCATCGCGGAAATGGAGGTTATGGCGTCACGCTTTTTGTACGCGGCTGCCATTTTGGGCACGCGTTTATGCGAATACTACTTTTTCATCAAGGCAGTGCAACAAAGATTATCCGCACTTAACCGGGGAATTGTGCAGGAGACATCCCCGGCGAACTTACCGCCGTCAGCGGTTGGCTTGGGCGAGAGATTGCGACACATCATCGAGAATATAATCGCAAGCGAATCATCAAGCCCACCGAGAAAGCATCGGCTGCCATCATCACGGATGCGTCGCTCCATGGATGGGGAGCCGTTTTTATTCCAGACTCCGGCGACGTTAAAATTGCCGGGGGGAAATGGGAGAGGAAACCTTTTCTTATCGTGCAGGCCGAGGCGCGCGGTACGCTTAGCCTTGTCGGCTTTTTCCGCCATCTTGCCATCCACCATGGACGTTTGGGTGGACAACACTTCGCTGCAAGGAGCGGCGAATAAAGGCAGCTCAAAATCGCACGCCATGACATGGGAGCTGCAACGGATATATGAGTTTTTGGACTCTCGCGGAATACAGGCAACTTTTGCCTACGTGCGGTCTGCAGAAAACCCCGCAGACGGCATATCACGCGGTCGTGTTTTTACACTTTAGGACTTGGCGAAGGGATGGAACTTGCGAAGGGTGAGCGGCAGGGTCTTGTGGTTGGAGGACCCCAAAGTCTGCCACTTCGTAAGTAATAATATTTCAATCCTAACTGAGGACAAAGGACCATGCTAGTGGTCCACAGAATTCTATATATTGAATGAAAAGAAAACATTGAAGCAATTAACTAACGAACCTTTTTTCCTAACTTGTTTGGTTTCCATAGATAATTTCAGGATCCGGCCAGCTGCCCGGAAGATTATTCGGTTGTAAGAATGGTGTTTTGACCTCTGCGCACGGTAACGCTCTTGCCGAGGAGACTGTCCCTGCTGCTCTGTAACTGCATGCGGATCGTCTGCTCGTGCAGCCACTGGAGGGTCCTTTGATTGTGTCCTCATTTGCCACGGGCAGCGTTTGCAGTTGGTTCACGGTGCCTTCTGGGCATCGTTCCACTGGTGTTGTCAATGATAAATCGTTGCAGTGCGTGGCAGGGCGCTGTCGGTGGTGGTGGACTCGACGACTGCCGCGATGTCTGCGAGGAAGCACCATGACTGCGACGACATTGATGGCATGGAGCTGCAGGATGGCGATGGGGACGGGAGGACGCTGGAGTCGCACTTATCACAACGCCACGCGAGGGATGAGTGAATGGCGCCGATTGTGGGGTGCCGGCTGCTGCAGAGGAAGTGCTCCGCACCGAACATGAGTGAATATTCCCACATGCTCTGTGCATTGGGCGTTTCTGCCAGACGCTGCACTTTGGATCGGTATTCCAGTGGTTGGTGTGTAGACGGAGTATCCATGAAAGCTTAGCCAAACGTCCGATGGACAGTTGCCCCATCACTGATCCCGCACTGGATGTGGGGGATGTTGAGGCTGTTATCTGTAGGGAGAATGTTTGTCTGCGATGCCTGGGGATGAGCCCTCTTCGTGGTGTCTGGACACGCCTCCCAACAACACGACGGATGCGAGGGACCCGGAGGAGACATATTTCAGTGCTGCCATGCATGCGGCATTGAGGTGCCTCGGCATGCGGGTGCGTCTGAGAGTGACTGAAGAGGGTAAAGTCCGTTGGTCCCATGCACGGACGGAGCGACGATTGTGTGGGTTGCTCCGCCCTACGATGAGGGAATGTTAGTTGCCGTGACCACGCGCAGGTGTGCACGATATCCGCCAACAGCGGCAGGCTGCTTCCAGTGTTTCCGTGGGACGACGAGGAGAGAGCGTGTGGAACAGGACGGTCTCACCGGCATCTACTGAACAAGGATTGCCAGGGGCACCCGTCCCCGTTGCGGAGAGCATTGAGACCGGCTGCGGCACACCACCGAAGGATGTCGACACGGCTGCTCCTCAGAAGCATCCGTCGCCAGAGGAGAAGTGGCTCCAGACGGGATGCCCCGACAGACCGCGAGAAGCTTCTCTCGGCGGCAGGGACCGAAGCAGCGAGAAGGACGGCAAGTAGGACACGCGTCCGACTCCCGGTGATGACACTGTTGCTGCTGCTTGTCCCTGTCCGCTGCTTCTTCTGCTTGCCTCTACTGCCGCCGTGCCAACACTCTATGGATTGCGGTTTGGACGGCGTTGCGCTGCGAGGCGACTGCGCTTCCTCCTGCGTGGCCCGCGCTCAGCATTGGATTTCCAATAGAAAAACATCTATTTCAATGGGTGCCGTTCTCCATATGCATGTGCTGTGTCAACTCCGTTTGACTTTTATTTGAGATTGGTTGTATTTCCTATGCACACTGCTCCTTTCGTGTTGGTCGCCGATGTTGGGCCACCGTATGGTGGTATGGCATTGCTTGTGTGTTTGTTAGATTTTCTGAGACGCAAATACACACAGAACGATGCGAGTGGAATGTGCGCACACAAGACACACACACGCACATCCAAGCACATTGTCTGTGTGAATTGTGCTTGACATATTATGTGGGGCGGGTTGGTGCGAGCAAGGCCGTCGGAAGAGGGGCAGCTGCGTGAGCCCAGCAATGGTGTTCGTGGTTGTGTGCGGGATCATATGTTCCATCAGATGTTTGACGCCGTTCATGGATCGTTTAAAGTTTTTTCTGCGATGCCCATGCTGCGTCTGTGCTGAGCTGCTCACTGCGTCTTCATGACCTCATGGAGCACGGCGTGACGCTGCTCGAGGACCTCATGACGCAGCGGCAGCTGATTATGAGTAGCCCTGCGCCCTACTTTTTTGCCGTGGAGGATGCGTCTGTGAGCCGTGTGGTTGAGGATTGGATGGCAACGGTCCCGCACAGGGATGCACACATCTTTTCGCTGGGGTACACCCCGCATCGCAGTCCTCAGCAACTCGAGTGGGCTCGGATAGCGCCGAGGGCGATGTGTTTCAAGGTCATTATGTTAGACTTCGCCGCCCCTGAGGTGCTGGTTTTCCACCTCAGCATGCAGAATGGTTTCCCTCAGCTGCTGTTGCCTCCGAATTGAGAATCCGTTGTGGACGTTGCGGCGTCACGTCTTGTGGCGGCTATTCACGCCATGAACAACGGTGTGCCTGTCATTTGCCAAAAAAAAAAAAAAAAAGAGGCAGCATCTGCCATGGGTTTGCCGGGACCTTTTTTGAGGGCTTGCCAGGCAATACCACGACGAGCCGGATTTCACTTAGGGGCGCCGACAGCCGCGGCAACCCGGTGCGGATCATCGTTGATTGGGGCTGTGTCACGGTGACGCCGCTGATGCACCAACGCACATGTCGGTGTCTGCTTGATGACCTGATGCCGCTGGAGAATAAAGTGCATGAGCAGACCTGTAGGAATCGTCTGGGTGAGGACTCGAAGCGGCAGTTATTGATGAGGAAGATGTGTACTGGTGCTTGTGCCGTCATTGATTCCTTGCGCAGTGCGTGTAGGAGCTTTCGGTGGCGCTGAAAAAACTCCACGCGTATCACCCGGGATTGGCGCAGGACGTGGAGCCGAAGGCCAAGCTTGCGGAGTTGGGGAGTGCGGTGCGGGCTCCGCCGGAGTTTCGGGAGAGGCAAGCCAGACTGTCGCTGCACATCGATGTTTGCGCGAGGCTTGTGGCACAGTACTGGGAGAAGCGACTGGCGGAGGTGCGGGAGGTGGAACAAGACATCGCCGTTGGGCACAAACCCCTCAGGAAAAACCTGGATGGCGTGCGGCGCCTGACGAGGGATGCGGCGATGCCCCGGCCAGTGCGACTGCGTCTTCTCCTGTTGCTTGTGACTGCGAGCAGTACCGAAGAGTTGACGGAGGCCAAGAAGCAGCAGCTGATCCGAGACGGTGGACTGACGCCCGACGCCCATTTGTTTGCGAGCCTTGAGCATTTGACGAGGAGGGCCGGGAGCGTGCAACGATACAGCACGGCGTCGGCGCAGAGCGGACGGAGCACGAGTGCCTCTGCGAGCAACGCCGCGACGGACGAGGATCCGTTTCTGAAGCAGAGCTGCATGATTATGGAGACGGGCAGGAAGAGGACGCTGCGGGTTGGGCTTTCGTTGGCATCGATGCAGCGCGACCATGTGATAGGGCCAAATGGCGCGAGTGGTGGCCATAACAGTGGAGCAGCAGGAAAAAACGCCGGGCCATTTCAAGGGTGTGGTGGCAAAGAGGAGAATCATCCTGATCTGGGTGGCGGTGGTGGTAGGACGATTGCCCTCACAACTCCTCAGCGCATTCTGCTGCTTGTTTTGGGTGGTGTGGCCTGCAGCGAGAGGCGCTCGGTCCATGAGATATCCAAAAGGTATGGCCGTGAGGTGGTCATTGGGGAGCCTCGCTGCCGCGTCCTGAGTCTTTTGTGTGCAGGGAATTGGCATCCTACGGCACTGTGACTCACGGGCAAGACACGCACAGGAATGCATCGAGGACCAAAGAGTGGGAAATATACAAACACACACGATTGCGGGTGTCTGTGGGGATTGTGTGCGCTTGTGTCTGCATTCCCTTCCTCTCCTTGAAGCGTTTCATACGATGCGCGCGTGTATGTTTCAACGGCTGCGCTGCTTGCCTTTTGCCTTTGTTTTTCTTTTGCGTGTGCGGTTGCAAGTCATTTCCATGCAACTAAGAAGGCGGATAAAAATGGAAAGACATTTGTGGAGCATGCACCCACGGCTTCAGTTTTCTTCCACTGATGCTGACCTTTTTTGCCAGGGCATTTGTGCACGCTTTTCCCTCCAATGTTTATTTTTTTTTCGGCACAGGAGGCAACGGGCGGGCATTCGTGAGTGCTGCGGCGGGATTTTGTTGCCCTCGCCGGGACGCGCTTAACGGCGGCAGCTCCATGACTTTGTGCACAAAAGGAATGGAACGTTCTTTGGATTCTCACCGCAGGCGCATGTCGTGGACGGCCGAAAAGGAGTGTGTGCCCGGTGTTGTTCATAGCTCCAAGGAAAAGATGGTGTTGGATGGTGCACGACGAGTGGATGTGGATTGTGTCGACCGTGCATCGCAGGTGTATCCGCTGGAGGCATTGCGGGCGGCCGTGAACAAATGCGAGTACAATACATTTAGAGGAAAGAACATTTTTAATTGGCTTCTCAGACGGAATCCAATGTACACAGGCAATGGGTTTACCGCGAGGAGTGGCAGGAGGGGACGCACGACGAGGACGCCACCAGCACCGCCATTTATTTCCGTCGCCGTGAGACCACAACGCAGCCCGCGCCAACACACGCCTTGCGGATTTTCCGGGGTGGCATGCACTGTTCTGTTTGGCGTCTTTGTTTCCCCATCCCCGAGCGTCGGTGCAGACTCCCTCGTCGGTGCACGTTCCTATCGATTACGGGCACACCCATTGATTGATGCGGCCGACACCCCAGCCCATTGCTGGTGCTTCTGGCATGACTGCCGCACCGCCCCCAGCAGCTGGTGCAGTGGGACTGGGGGACGAGAACACGGCAGACCAATTTCAATCAGATGGTGCTGGAAGCCCTGTCAGCGTCTCGCCGACCCCAGCGACCCACCCACACCACCAGCGAGCACAGAAATCGACGGGACAGGGAAGGCATTGACGGAGTGTCAGGACACCAGTTGTCTTTTAACATCACTCCTAGTCAAGCAACCGTAAGAATTGACGACAACATCATTCACCAGCAATGAAAAGGAACAGTTACGTCAGCACCGGCAGCGACAACAGCACCGCTGTCTCCCACACCACCTCCCATCCTTTGCATCTTTTTTTTACGTGTGCGGCTGTTGTTGCTGTGGTTCCCACACCTGCATGAAGTGGTGTGCGCTGAGTATGAACGACGGCCAAAGAAAAATGAATTGTTTTTGTGATGGATATTGGCTGCACTTCCCGTGGACCAACAATCCACGTGGTGTGCGGGGATCATTCCTTTTTAAATTGTTACTTTGCTTTTGTGCTGCTGTGTGCGCTGCACCTCCTCTTGTGTGTGTGCGTACCCTTCATGAGGGGTGCCGACACGACGGACCGCTCTCGCCGTATGTGCATGCGGTGGAGCCTTGTGTGCCGCTCCTGTTTGCTTCTCCCTCCTCCATCAGTGTGTTGGTGTTGCGGCAGGGCTGTGTGTGTGTGCCTGCTGCCGTGGATTGGAGTGTGTGTCGTGCGTGGTGTGCGGCGTACGGTGCATGCCTGGCTGCTGCCCTCTCCTCATGTGGTGTGCCCTCTGTGTGTGTCTGCCGCACCTCTCGTCTCCCCTGTTGCTCTCCATGTCCCTCACTGTGCAGATCAGCTCCACACCACTGAACGACCACACTCACGATGATGATGATGTGCCGTCTGCTGTGCGCCCTGTTGGTGCTCTCCCTGTGCTGCCGCCCGTACGTGTGTGCGGTAGGCACTGTCCCGACTGAACCTCAAACTGAGGGAAACGACGCCGGCCTGCCGTCCACTACATCTGGGACTAAGCCTAATTCTCAGGATTCCGCCGAAGCAAGTCCATTGCTCTCTTCAGAAACAAAAACTAGTCTGGATCCGAAAGCTGACGTTGATGCGAAGGGGAAGGACACCAGTCCGCCGTCCGCTACAGCGGATGGAGCACTTCGGAGCACCGTTGAGTCAGGGTCGTTAGGCCAGGAGTCCAGTACGGCGCAGGAAAACGCCGCCAGTTCATTGCCCCCTGCACCACCCACTGGGCCTAGCAAGAAAACTGAGACGGATCCGCCGGACGAAAATAATTCTAAAAATACCATGACGCTTGAGGATCCTTCCAAGACGACCACCACGACCACTACAACAAAAGCACCAACCACGACCACCACCACTGCGCCAGAGGCACCAAGTGCTACGACTACAGAGGCGCCAACCACGACGACCACCCGCGCACCGTCACGTCTTCGCGAAGTTCACGGCAGCCTCAGCAGCTCTGCGTGGGTGTGTGCTCCGCTGCTGCTCGCCGCATCCGCGCTGGCGTACACCACTCTGGGCTGAAGAATTGTATGCGGGCCGTGCGTACCAGCACTCAACCGCGGGGATTTGTGCGCGTCCACTGTGGTCCGATGTAAATAAATAATAGAAAATAATGATTGTGTGTTTTGCTTCACTTGCTTCCGCTGCCCTGCTGCGTGCTCCTTGCTGCTCCCTGTATCCGTCACTTTGAACGCATCCCGTAGGCAGTCATATGCACGACAGGCATACAACTGTTTGCGTGGAATCACATTTGAGGATGGGTGCGTGCGCACTGGCGCCATACTGTGCAGTTTCTTTTTTGTTTTCTTTGCTTGCGTTTTTTTAATTTTTTTGTTTTTTCTGTTTACTTGCTGCGGAGCTGTGTGTGTTCGTTTTTTGCCTTTTTACTAATTCCAACTGCCTCAAGGTGTATGCGCAGCTTCTGCTGGGCGGTTGCTGTTTGACTCTTGTGTTACTTGTTTTTCACTCCTTGCTTTCACTCTGCGTTGACGTGTTGTTATTTTGTGCTGAAGGCTGCACGCAAGTGACAGGAGTGATGGCGATGATGATGACTGGCCGTGTGCTGCTGGTGTGTGCCCTCTGCGTGCTGTGGTGCGGTGTCTGGTTGTGTGATGCGGCGGTGGTGGGATCTGCTGCTGGGGGTGCTGGGGGTGAGAGTGCTGGTAAAGGTGCGGTGGAGACTACTGAAACTTCAGCGCCAGGACCAGACACATCAGATTCATCAATAGATGAATCCAAGGTTAATCAATCACCAGAAAAGTCTGCAGTAAAATCTTTGGAAGTAAAAGAAGATGCTGGCCAAGAGGATGTTGTTGCTGGAGTGGGGGGTGAAACAAATAAGAACACTTCAGGGCGTTTAGAAAAAACTGTGATAAACGATCCAGGAAAAGAAATTACAGAACCGCCATTACAAGACGTAGGACAAGAAGAAATACAGCTGCCAAAATCGCAAGTGAATTTGCCACAGCAACCGCAGCCACCACTGCAACAGTTACAACCGCAGCCGCAGCCGCAGCCACACACTCCTGCTTCAGAAGAGGGTAAAGGTGTTGGCGAGAACAGTAAGGGTGGAACAGGTCAGCCACCATTGGGAGTACAAGATAAAGGAAACGAGGATTCAAAAGCCCTCATGAAAGAAGACTCGTTAAAGAGTCCAGGTGAGGAATCAGAAAACAGTGAACAGTTCCAAACGACAGTGCCAAACACAGTAACGGCGGAGCACAAAACCCAAAATGGAATGTTAACTCCGGAACAAAAGACGAATGGAAGCCAAAGCACGGATACATCCACGAACCTACCCGAAACACAAAAGGAAAATAAAGAATATCCTGCCTCCACGGAAGGTACGGCGCAGAGTACATCAACTGGCAGTCAAGAACAAGAATCTGAGCCATCTACAAGCGAAGAGCCTTCCCCTTTTGAGGAGGAACAATCCATAGGGACGAACACAACTGAGGATGCTCGAACACCGGATGCTGCGACGACAGAAAAACGCCAAACCGGCGATAATGAAAAGGTTGGCGACAGTGACGGCAGCACCGCGGTCTCCCACACCACCTCCCCTCTTTTGCTTCTTCTTGTTGTTGCGTGTGCGGCTGCTGCTGCGGTGGTGGCCGCGTGAGAGTGAGGGGAGAGAGCCGTGCACCGCCCGCACACACACTCGTCCTTCTCTCTCTGTGTGTGTGTCCCCCTGCATGGACTCTCGCCCTCACCTCACCCCACGAGACACACACATAATGTGCCCATTGTATATATGCATGCACACCCATGCATGCCCGTTGGTGCTCTCTTTTGCACGACACGCACCGCTGCCGTCCTGCCTGGCTGCATGGGCGGAGCACCGTAACTGTTTCTGTTTTTATTTATTTGGTAAGTGTTTTAGTTTTTTCTTATTGTTTTTTGTCGTTGTAAAAAACCTTTTTTTGCTTTTATCAAACTTCTAATACCCATCCCTTTTCTTTTTTTGCTTTTGGGGCAATCACTGTGGACGTTTTTTTTCTTTTCGACTCTCCCCTCTTTAATTGTTTGTTGCTGCACTCTTCCTGCGAGGGGTGCCGTGTGTTCCCGCCCAACTGCTCCACTCGCACACCCACCGACACGCTCACGACGACGGCCCTGTGCGCCTCGCCTGCTGCACGCATGAGGAGGGGCCGCGACGAACGGCGCGCTGAGGGAGCCGTGACGTGTGGGCGTGCGACGAGGGCCTGTGGGGCGGCGCACACATTTCTTCCCTCTTGTTTTGTTTTCTTTGCGGCCAGGGCTGGCAGACACCCGCAGCGCCACACACACAACCACACCCTGCCGCCGTGTTTTTTCTTTTGCTGCGCTCACTCTCCCGATGGAGTGACGCGACCGCCGTCATGTCTGCGTGCTTCTCTCAGTCCCACACACACGAGTGACTGTGCTCTGCGGGCCGCACTCACACGCCGATGGGAGGGCTGAGGGGAGCAGCAACACGCCGATGACCCCATGAAATGTGAACGATGTGCGGACACACAGAGGGTCGGACGGCTGAAAGACACTTAAATATCTTTTAATTTTCTTTTGCGGGCAAAAAATATATGCAGACAGTTTGGCGTGGCCACACGGCAGCCGGCTGTTTTTTAAATTTGTGTGGAACAGTAATGGACGGTTTCTTTTTTATTTATAATTATTTTGTGTGATGGGGTTTGTGTAAGACGAAGGAAAGGTTTCTTTTTTTTGTTTTAAATAAATCTTGTGTGAATTGCCGCTGCTTGGGCTGCAGTGCAGTCATGAGTTTGAGCGGTCTTCTTGTTGTTGTTTTCGCCACGCACCTCCGCTGTACATTTTAGTTTTTTGCGTCTCTCCACATACTCTGCTTTCTTCTTTGCTTTGTGTTTCTGCAGGCACACACACACAAGATGCACATTGCAGTGGATTTGAATGCTCCTTTTGCAGTGCATGCTGGCAGTTGCGTGTGGCGGCTGTTGTCTTCCTCCGTGGCCATGAGGCGAAGGAAGGAGGGAGAGGGAGTGCGCAGCCCGAATCTCCTTTCCTGCGGGTGTGGAGTACCGCGTGTGACTGCGTTGAGTTGGGCTCCGTGTCCCATTGAAGGCGGGATGGCTGGAAATTTTTTTGCCTTGTCATGGATGGATGAGGGTGCACTTGCGTGTGTGGTGCTGCTGCTGCTCGTCCGTGTGCGCGACGACTGCTGGGAGTGCTGGAGATGTATCTGGCGATGCGGATGCGGTGGTTGTGCTGGTGGATGTGTCGTGTGCTCCGAGTGACGGCGGCCTGAGCTATCGCGTGCGTGTGTGTGTGTGTGTGGAAGAGGTGTTCTGCTGCCGGTGCTGAGGCTCAGTGTGAGAATTATACCTTTAGTGGCTTTGATGTGCGCATGCATGGCAGGAATGGTGAGCTGGGTGCTGTGTGCCATGTGGCCAATGCGGTGCACACATGTAGCAACTGTGCTGCCAGCTGTGCAAGGAAAGAGGAAGGGGCCACCGTTGCCTTCACGATGAATGTGACGACGCATAAATACGCCGGCCCTTATGAATTGTGGTGGCGTCAATTTCCCCTCGATGGAACCATCCATCCGCCTGCACGGAGCGGCGATGCTGACCGGACGGGCATCTGTCAGTTGCCGCCACCCCGTGAAGGGAAGGATGACACAAAATCTGGTGGGACAACTGCGCCGCAAGTGAATGCTGAGCCGTCACGTCAGAACGAGGATTGGCGACAGTCTGCGGCGGCTGACGGACCCAACACCGTCGATCGGAGTCCCGCATCCAACACGGCGACCAAAACGTCCGAGACGAAGCCAGAGTTTGCTTACGTTTGAAATATCAAATATTAATGTGGTTCCGACGCCACCCGAAGGAAGGCCCACGCCTGTCACCGAGCCGAAGGGCAATTCCATTGATGATGCGATGAGTGGTTTAATAAATGTTGAGGTGCCGCAGGGAGTCGATCTATTTGTGGCGCAGACGACGTTGGTGCAGCCGAAGGATGGGATTGTTCCAGTTACGGCGAGGGATTCATTTGTTTCACTCTCTCTCGTCAGTGCTGGTGGAGTAATTGCTGCTTTCGCCGAAGGTTGCATGGATGCCGAATATCAACTTGGTCAATTAATTATGTCCTTTTCTTCTGATCTTGTTGCGGGGTACATCGACTCTGTGTGGAATTGGCCCACTGTTGTTGGTGAGGTCAATAAAAGATACATGGAGGGCACACACTGTGCTTGGTGCAGATGAGAGAGAGGAGAGTTTGGGTGTTGTGCTCCGCCCCACAACAATCACGAAGGGCCACGGAGTTTTTTCTCTTGCGGGAGGCTCTGATGTGTCCTACGAAGGTGGGTGTTGGAGAGAGGGCGGCTTGGAGCCGAAACTGGTTGTGGGTGATGTCACGAATCCCACGGGTGGCAAGCGGAGTGGACGGATCGAGTGGGCTGGCCCCAAACCACTCTCGAAACGGATCTCTTCTGCTTCTCACGAAGGTGAGTGGACGCAGTTCATTTCTTCTGGTGGCGCAGGTGTTGTGCTGGAGGATGGCACGCCTGTGTTTCCTCTGATGGCGAAGAGCGGAAGACGTTTGCTCCATGATCGTGCATTCGACGGACAACGGCAGTGCCTGGGCGCTCGCAGTGGGCATGTATTCTGCGCAATGCCTTAACCCCGCGTCACCGGATGGGAGGGATCACTTCTCATGATTCTTCATTGAGACAATGGCCGGAGGGTGTACGGGTCGCGTGACATGGGGACAGCGTGGACGGAGGCCATCGGGACACTCTCAGTCGTGTGGGTCAACGCACGACCAAGAGCTCCCTGGGACAAAAGCCTGCGTGTGGATGCCCTCATGACCGCGACCATTGAGGAAAGGAGAGTCACACTGTACACTCAGAGAGGGCACACCTCGGGGGAGAAAAGGGCCACTGCGCTCTGCCTTTGGGTCACGGACAACAACCGCACGTTTTCTGTTGGACCGGTTGTCATGGACAATGCTGCGGATTGATGCTCGCCAGCAACCTGCTGCACTCGGATGACAGTTTGCATCTTTTACGACGGAGGGGCAACGGTGAGGGCCGTGTCATTTCACTTTCCCGCCTGACGGAGGAACTGAGTGCAATCAATTCCGTCCTCAGTACTTTGGCGCAAAAGGAAATTTTCTTCTCCAGCTTGTCTAAACCCACGGCGTGTCTGGTGGCAGTGTTTTTCGATGCGGCCAGTGATGACACGTGGAACGACGAGTACCTTTGCCTGCATGCGATGGTGGAGGAACGCAGTGAAGGACAGCGATGGGTTCCGATTCACGGGACTTGAGTCCAGGGCAATATGGCCTGTGAACACTCGGAGTGATAACGTGCGTCATGTATCCTTGAGCCAAAACTTCACACTTGTGGCGTCGGTGACCATCGAAGAGGCTCCGAGTGGTAGCACGCCTCTACTGACTGCGATGCTGGCGATCACTGAGTCCAATCATACCATGGGACTGTCGTACAGCCATAATAAGAAGTGGGAGACGGCGTTCGAAGGCAAGACAACAACACGGAGCAGCAATCGGGAGCCGAGGAAAGAACACCAATTGGCACTCATGCTGCAAGGCAACAGGGCCTCTGTGCATATTGATGGTCGGTCGCTGGGAGAGGAAGAGGTGCTGTTGACAGGCCAGAGGCCACCTGAGGTACTGAGGGTTTGCTTTAACGCGTGTGGTGGGCACGAATCTCATGTGACGGTGACGAACGTCTTTCCGTACAGCCGCCCACTGAATTTCACTGCGATGCGTGCACCCAAGGACAGCGTCCCCGCTCCGACGAGAGAAGCGGCTCCGACACCGCCCGAGAAGATTCGAGTATTTGACAGCGTCAGAGGGCACGTTGCTGGGGATATTACCGAAGAGAAATGAATGGGCGCGACGCCCTGGAAACGAATCCCTACTACAAACAGTCACCTCACAGGGTCTGGAGCGGCGTGAGTCCCGACGACCACCTCGCCTCTCTCAACGAAGTGAAATTGACACTGCGTGATTTAGGCGGTAACAACACCGTGCGTGTGTGCGTGTCTTGTGTGTTGCTGCTTCTTCTGGGATTGTATTTGGGTTGTGGCAGTCTTCTGAGCCACAGTGTGTGGATCCGCGGCTCCTCACCTAGAATACATGCCGCATTGCCCGCCTTTTTAATTATCTTTTATTTCTTCAATGTTTTTACTTTTTAATTTTTTTTCACTGTAGTT